TTCACGCAGAAAGCCGAGCACTGCCGAGCGAAGAAAGGTGGAGCGAAGCGAAGCTCCGGGTGTTCACACTGAACGAAGAGGAGCAAAGCTTTTCTCATGAACTCGGCTGCAAAGAGACCACAACACTTACCGTCAATTAAAAGACGCCAAAATATTTGCTCAATTTTGTTCAAAAAATTAGTTGAAAAATTAGTTTTTGTTTGAAAATACTAATATCTTATTTGCAACACCGTCATGAATCTGAAAACTTTAATAGAAAATTTAAAATCAAAACTGCTTTACTTTCAACTTCAAAACGCTTGCTGTATGAACACTTTCATATACCTACAGCAGTTTGAAAACTTCAATAAGCTCGGCACGGCTCCGCTGGGCTCGGCTTCGTTTTATGTGTGAACGCACTTTTAGCGTGCAGCTGTTCGCCATGTAGCAATAAATTTTTTAAAAATCATATTATATTAAAAAAAATTAATAATAAGTATTAAAAATCAAAAGAAAATGCAATTGAAAATTTAAATGAAAATAGAGTAAGAATAAATAAAAATATTTTTAAAAATTAAATGAAACTGAGCATATATATATTTTTTTTCTTTTTATAACAATGAAATCTAAAAATTAAATTAGGAAAAGAAAAAAAGAAATCAAAAAGAAGGAAATTGTAATAACAAATTAAATAGAATATAAAGAAATTTTATTTAAAACAAAATCTAAAAATAGAAAATTTTATTTAAATGAGACAAAAAAAATGTCCTAAAAAGTAAATGAAATAAAATTTTTATTTTTTCTTTTTAAAACAATAAAGTCTAAAAATTAAAAGAAAATAAAGTGAATAGAAGGAAATCAAGTAGAAGTAAAAAATGAAAATAAATAAATAAAATATGTTGCTAAAAATTGTATGAAACTAAAAAATATTTATCTTTATTAGGGCAATTTTTTCAAGAAACATTTAATATAAGGCTCACTTTATATTCAAAGGTAGCTTTAAATGTATACATATCTATGTCTGAAGTAAAGCATTTCTATTATCGGTTTTTGACGTATGTATGTTCTTGGTTGTAAACCAATGTAACCTTTAAATATAAAGTGAGCTTCAAAGTTAAAGGTTGCATAAGAAAACGGCCCTTAGGCAATAAAATCAAAAAAGTAAGAAAAAAAACTAAAAAAAAAAGAATTTTAATTTCAAAAAGAAAAAAAATCAAATTCCTAAAAATTAAATGAAATAGAAAAACTATATCCTTTTTAAAAGAATAGCATCTAAAAATTAATACAAAATTAAATTAAAAAAAGGTAAAATTAAGTTAAAAAAGAAAACAAATACATAAAATAAGTTTCTAAAAATTAAGCAAAACTAAAACTTGTAAATTTTTCGGTTGAAAACATTAAAATTAAAAAAAGAAAAAGAGGACTCGAACTCAGATCACTCGAATTGCACACCAGTGCTCTGCTCACTTGGGCATTGCGACTGTCGGAGCGACGCGAGCTACATAAATGATATGCAAGTAATTTCTCTCAAAATAGTTTTTCACCACGAGTGGTGAATGAGAGAGCTTTTAGACTTTTATACAAGAATAAGAAAAGCCTTTTGTACTATCTTTCCAGCCCATCTGTCCTTCATTTTCCTTACGCAAAACCTTTTAGATACCATGTTATCCAGAATTGCCCCGTTGCTCTGCTGATGCGCTCTTACTTTTCGACTTTACTTTTCATGAGAGCTGGATACTAAGCTAATCTCAAGATTGTAACTCCAACTCAGGTCGAAAACCGTGACTTTAGAGTAAAACTTCCAAATCTTTTTTCCTTCTCAGGTCAAAAATATTTCGTGGTCATATTTGCAATTTTTTTCTGAAAGTTTTTAGAATAAGTAAAAAATAGGTAATAATAAGATAAAAATTAAATAATAATAAGAAGATAGGCGCTCTCACAATATGTTGCCATTTGCACGAGCTTCTCCCCCGATTTTTTGCCGTGCGCCTTGATGTTGTCTTCTAGAAAATTATCCGCCGGAAAATTTCACTAGAGTTATTCTCAGAAGAAATCTTTATACAAAGGACGCAAAATTCCACAGAAAAAAAAAACAAATATGCCCCTTTCATATGCCATTCATCTAACCATTGCGATGTTTCTTTATCAAAAATGCTAATCCGGCAAATGGTTTTCTAGAGTATTTTAACCCTCCAACGACCACCCAAATGCCATTTTAAATAGACTTACCGAAAAATGTGGTCAAACCGACCCTTTCGTGAGAAAGCTAATGGGTAAAAATTGTCTGCAAAATTATTCCTTGTGAAATTTTACTATATGCACCCAAACTACATATTTCGTTCCGATATGAATTGCAAACTTAATATAGCCATAAAAAACCACTTGAGGTAGTTTTACTGTACGGCTCTAAGTCTTTTAACAAGGGATGGCATCATTCCGCCCCCCGAAAATTTAATTTAAAATTTATTCAGACTTCTAGTAATGTTTAATTGATACTTAACAGCTATAAAATAATTGTGTGATAATTTTTTTTATTAGACATTTGCGAAATCTCCGCTTAAAATCAGCATGGTTAGGGATTGATAAAATTCAATTTATTCTTATAGCGTAAGCTGAAATAAATTAACACTACAGGAACCCCAAATATGGCATATCACATAGAGCCCTTTGTTATAAAATACTTCAAATGAAAATTTCGCACCAAACACAATCTGGTTTTTGCACCTCCAAACACGCACGAAATAGCAAAGTTGCTTTTTAAAGAAGAAAAAAACTTGACGCTTTCATAAAAACGAAGTCAAGTGTGCTCAAGAAGACAACGCACCAACGCGAAACGCTTTCTCAAGTGCACTCTAAAAAACGCTTTGTTGCAAAAGAAGTCGAGTATGGCGTGTGTGTTTGTATGTACAAACAAATATATACTAGACTGTACTACCTTAAAGCCAAACAAAAAAATATCGAAAGATGAAAAATCTTTTGTATCTCTTCAAGAGAGAGTCCCTAACCCAGTGTGGCCCAGATACCTCCGGCTTTCCTAATGAATCCTAAAAAGGCCTTGGTTAGCGAAGCTCTTATAAAAACTATTCGACCGCTCGACCAATGAAGATTTAAAATGAATCCATTTTTTTTTTCAAGCCAAAGCCGAACAGTGGCTGCTTGGCTACCTGAAAATATAACTAACTAGAAAGGCGCCCTTCAAGCCGTCGTTAGAAAGTCGAAGTTTCAGCTATCTCGTGGCTGCTGTTTGCTGGATAAAAATATGGAGAGGAGTCCATCCCAGAAGCGACTCCGGAGCCGCAGCTGAGCACGTTCTTATAGATCCAGTGAGGGGTAGGCATGTCAATTTTTGCAGTTTGTTAAGAAGAAATTATAAAATTTTTTTACAGAGCCTTCTGTTACGGATACATAAGACACAATCGGACGGACGATCATACGGTAGAGCCACAGGACTTGTTCAGGATCATTTCGGAACAATTTCGGGAACTTTTCGGATTCATTTCGAGACTCGTTAGAAAGCAGTTCGGGAGTAGTTCTGGACTAATTCGGAAGGAGTCCCTAAAAAGTACCAAAATGTGCCGAAATAGTACCGGAAATTTCTGAACTACATATATATATTCCTGTACTTTAAGATATAATAAAGTCTCTCACTCTTAACTATGATGAAAAGACTTTTATAATAGGGATATTATTGATCCGTTACATTGTGTTGAAACAACAACAAATTATCCAATCATGCTATTTAAGCACCATTCTAGACAGTATACAGCGGATCGAGAATACCACTAATGTAAATGTAAAAACAAAAGTCGTTGAAGACTTAAAACAAGTATCTCGCTGATAACTATTATGAAAATACGTTTAAAAGGAGGGATGTTAGATCATAACAAACTGCCGATAAACGTAAAAAATTATAAAATTAGTTTATCGCGTTATATGAATACCCCCAATGTAAGTCTTCGAATATTAGTTGTATGTACATAGATGTTTAGAAAACTTTTTATCTTACTATAATAATTATTAATTTATTTTTATTCTTTTCTCTTATAACAGTTATGTCTCTGAGTAAAAATTTCGAAATTAAACTTCAAATATAAATTCGACTCAGGGGTATACGGTAAACTTTTTTCCGACCCGCTCTAATGTACACACATACATACATATTTATGTACGTACATACCAGTAAATATTTTTGTATAGGCACTCGAAAAGAAAGTTGCACGCTTTTCAAAGCATCTATTGAACTCCATGTGCAAGTACAGTGGGTACATTAAAGTACATACATACATATATGCAAATGCATTGCAAAAAAGTAACATATATATGCATGTACATGCGTACATAAATGCACATGTATTTATGTATACAAAAATATATTTTTAGAGTAATGCATAAAAATTGATCAAAAAAAGGGAGTACAAAATTTTGCTTAAAAGTATTGCAATTTCAAATTTGCACTCAATATGCAAACGCGTAGCAAAGGAAGTTGTTTTGAATTTCGATGGTAAAATATTTATCAAAAATTAAAAAAATAGACGAAAAAATACTAATTCAGAAAATAACAAACCGCAGGTATTGTCGCACACGGCTTCCAAAGCCGGCATTTTTGCACTCAGAAATATTCCCCGATGACATGCAAAACAACACAAAAAATATATGTAAATACTAACAATGCATTTCAGCAACCATAAAATATACATTTAAAAAAAAAATTCAAAATACCAAAAAAAAATGAATTGTTACTTTGGCGGCAGCTAATGGACGACATTGGCCAAATAGACCCACAGCTATGCGCGCACCTGCAAGCCGCCGCATAAATGCAATTGCCAAACGATGCATGCAATGCGCAACCAGCAGCGTGCAACAGCAAAATACACTACCACAACAAACAACAACTACAACTACCTACATCTACACAATAAACATGCACATAACTGCATGCCAATCACTTGAACTCTTTGTATGTGTGAGTGTGTGTGTGTGTGTGTGTGTTTGTTTTCTTCTTTTTTTTCTGTGTACATTACCATCAGTATTGTGTTGGGTATAACGGATAAATCCATCGCTGGTATTGAAGTTAACAAACCACTCGGATACTTTTTCATGCGACTGGGGAAAAAAGTCGATTCAACACCCTGCGGTGGTAGTGCGAGTGAGTGCGGCACAGTGGAGAAAATTCGCCAAAGCAGCACACAAAACAAAAAACAAACAAAAAAAAAAACAGAACAGAACAGAAACAAATAAATTAAAATAAAATAAAAGCGCAAGCAGCAGTAGCGTGTACAAAATACGTACATTGATATAAGGGCGTAGCCTGTAGTGGGGCAAAGGTAAATATTTCAACAAATACATTATTATTTTTTTTTTCATTTTTTGTTAAACTATTTTTATACTAAGTTGGAGTACGCCTCGAATTTTCAGCAAGCTCTTAAATTACACCGGCACAAAAAAAAAATTTGCCTGCATTTAACCAGAACCACCTACCGACATGTTAGTCGACCCGCTGAATCCGAATCTGCGGTCCGTTTAAGTTTTATACCCTCAAAATTTCGAGTAAATCACGAAAAATGGCGATATTTTGCTTTTTTCGGGTTTTCGCAATTTTGAGGGTATGCGAGTCAAACGGACCTCAGATACGAATTCAGCGGGTCTTCTATACACATATCTTATCATGGGTCAGAGCCAGTTTGCAAGCAGGCAATTTTCCGTTAAAACACCTACCGGTAGCCTAGCGTTATCCCTCTTGAGGGAAAGAACACCGGACCCCAATGCCGATGTACTTCATTATTGATAATCCAGAGCTTCTTTGGACTTCGCCACACTTCTAGTCGAAGGCTGTGCGATAGTAGCGAATTTATCGCAGCCTGACTGTAGATATGTATAAAGATTCATCTGCCTGTTTGCTATATTGCTGTTCAGTAGCTACGCCCTCCTCGTTATTATTTTGTCAGCTTATAGGATTTATTGAGGCCGAGCCAGCAACTTTCATGCCCTTACGCCAAACTTCGGCCGCTATAGTTGCTTCGAAGTTCGTTCCAAAGTGCAGATCCGGGATCACATAGTCAATCCGTCCCGAGTAAATTTGCCGCTATACTATTGTGACCGTAGGACCTGCAGGCAAACAGTTGGCAGTTTAGGACGCTATATTGTTGGCCGATAGGTCCGCCGCCAAGAGGTGCTACAACGTGGAATAAAGTGCTGCCATTGGTTTAATGCTAAGTGTCTGTCTTGTTTCTAGGAAATATTTTCTTATCCATTGCTGTCCAGCAAACCCCTATGGAATAGTACCGGCGACTATCTCCCTAATGATGCAGTGAGAAAGAGAAGGTAAGCATCTTTTTGCGTGCATAGAATGCCACGGAGGCCTCTTCTCACAGGCACACAATTTGTTTTTTTTTTACTATACATTTTTTTATTCGACTTCATCTTATAATCTTGAAAGGGGAACTGCTTACCCATGATCCTACCTGGCTACGCCCTTGCAAACATAAATACGTATATAAGCATATGAAATCAAAATAACAAAATGAATGAAATTAAACAAAAAGTTTCAGCAGTAAAATAGGTTATACGAGTATAATGGTGTGTACGCGCGAGTAAAGCAAAAAATTTTAAGGTGGCGAATAAATTGGCGGCACGAGAAAACAAAGCAGATTTATAAATGAAGTGTGGAACGAACAATTAACACCAATGCCAAGCCACCACGCAAAGCCAAACCAAGCTTGCCGATTCAAATACGTGTACATTGCAATTGTGGCGTAGTTTTCATGAGTTATTGCATTTGATATACATATGTATGCGTGTATGTGTGTATGTATGAAAAATGCTTCACCTGAAGTGAAATTTATTTCTCTTTTCTTCAATTAATTTCCCTTTGGTGCGAGGCCAAATATTTATACTTGCCTACATATGTACATATTTTTGTAGGTAATTTTTTTAAACTTTCCAACACACTTATTTTTAATTGTATGAAAAACATTAATAACAGAAATCAACAATATAAAACAATTTGTTTGGTATTGAGTTATTTCAATGAGGCAAAGATATTTCGTTATATATGTATGCGATGAACACACAGTTGAAAAGTTCCGAGAACTTGTAACAACTTTTATAAAAAGTGCTTATTTTGCCTACTTCAAATCGAATAATGATTTATCCACAGCCGCGGATAACCCACATTTTTTGTAAGTAGTGCTGCAATTTCAAAGGAAAGCCAAAACCCTTTACCCGAGAGGAAGTAAATCATATTGTTTTTTTCTTATTCAGATTTACAAGTCTTTATTCTGGCAATGGGAATGTCGTAAATCCACGCTTGATTTCAAAAGATAGAATTATATGGCCCCGCCTCTTTGTATATAAAGCTGGGCCTTATAAAACAGGTTATTAGTTTAGGTTAGGTTGAAGTAACTGCCTGCTTCCCAAAGATAAGAGAAAATATCCGCTAACGTGGGGGTCTTAGCGTTATAGCGTTTCTTTTATATGTATATATAATTCTTTTTTCTCACTTTAAAACAAAAAAAAAATATATAAATAAAAGAAAATTAAATAAGAAAAAGGAAAAAATAATAATCAAAAACGGGAAATAGTACTTAAAAATTAAATTTGATCAAAAACAATTTTATTTCAAAAAGAAAAACAAAAGAAAAGCACTCATAAAAAACTGGATAAGATCTTGAAAATTAAATGAAATAAAAAATATCCTGCCTGGACTTCATTTATTGAAGTAATTACTTCGATATCGGTCGTCCTAACCAATTCCCAGACAATCTTGGATTCTATAGCGAAGAACAGGGAGAAACGCTTTTTTCCACTATACGTACTTCAAACACGAAAGTCGTTAAAAAGTTCCTATGTACATACTGACGTAATGAATGTAGTTTTTGAAAGAAATCTGTGTTTTGAAATATATTTTTAATTTATATTTTTTTAAACACACTTTTTCGCTTTGGTAAAAGTATAAATCGACAACTATGCGTAGTTAGATATATTTTTCATGTAATTTTCAAGAAAAAAAGACGAAAAAGAAACTAGGTATGAAAAAAATATTTCACAAACACCCTCAAAAATATGGAATAAGCCTTATCCTAAGTTTCGCACCAAAAAAATGCACCCAAAAATCTTTCATGCGCCCATAGTAAATACAGGGAAACGAAAAATGAAAAGTGAACCGGTTCGGAAAAAAATTAAATTCATGATAAGGCTGAATATGATTTACAAAATTCGAAAATTCAACCAAACTTGCTGCGAAAACTTTTTATTTAACTCCCATTTTCCAGACGCAAAACGGAATACTGCAATTCCGCCTGTTGCCTGGCCTAATGTACGCCATACCTCCTTACAAGCAAACAGAAAAAGTATTCGGCCCACGCTTGAGTCTTATGTATTTTTACAAGGCAATTTCGAAAAACAACTTTTTTTTGTCAAACTTGATATCGATAACTTTATAGATTTTGCAATCGTTATATGTATCTATAAAAATAATCGATATTGTTGTCTATATACACTTGTAGTCAGCTGATTAAGTCAAGTGACGTTGAATTTTCATAATTTTTGTACGAAGGTTTAAATGTGGATTTATGTGTGGCTGGTGGGGTAAAGTGCTAGACTTTTATAAAAAAAAAATATAAGCATTGAATAAAGAAAAGAAAAATAACTAAAACTAGTCCAAATGTCACTTGACTTAATCAGCTGACCACAAAGGTATTTATCGATATTGTTGGCGACATATTAATCGATATTGTTATCTATATATTTATCAATATATTCTTTGATATATTTAGCCTCGAACAAATTTAAATAGTTCCGACAATACTAAAAATCTCGAAGTTCCAAAATTTCAAGGTGGTCGAAGTAATCTCGAAAATCCGGAAACAGGTCCGAATGTCCCTCAGTAGTTCTCAAAATCCCGAAATATTAATTAGTGAGATAATATAGTTTGTATTCATTTTCCAAACTCACCAGCTTGATAAGCACCAACTTTCAACTCAAAAATAAATTTGATCTATGGATTTGTGATTTGACTAATTTAAAATCACCCAACCCTATTCAGCAATAATTTTTTTCTTATAGTCCTACTGGCGCGCTTTAATTTACTGACATTAGGGTGGTAGGAACTGAGATCTGGTGGGTAGCTACCAGAACGAGGTACGTGAAGCCAATGCACTTTAGAACAAAAAAAATAAAGAAAAAATTTCGAAACAAAAGCAATTTAAAATTACGAAAAAAAAATTCGAAAATACTTAAGACTAAGTGTGTTCTACGGCGGACCCCGCAAAATAGGTTTGTTAGCATTTTGCTGTAAAGCTTTTATTACTTTGACAACTTTTAGTAAAATGTTTAAACATTTTCATACAGATCCTTTAAGCTTAAACTTTTCTATAATCTGAGGGGATTTTTTTGTAAAAAATTTTGTTGCATGGAGAGTGATGCACCCTAATATGCATACATACGGCTATCCACATCTGCATATGTATGTTTACTAAACCTCAGTATTTGATTTTCATTTTTTTCGCGCGGCAAAAAAACTTTCACTCGTATTTTTTCAATCACTGTTACTCTGCAAGCGATCGGTTGTTAGAAAATTGCCAACATTTCTGTTGTTTTCCCTTAGAATTGTATTTTCAATTTCCACTTGACCCGCCCACAATACCGCACAGCCAAGCAGGGGAACAATAAACATCGCAAATATTCCTCGAATCACGGCAGTGCAACGCCCGAAAGCTGCGTTGTACCTGCTGCAGCGTTTTCCGCGTATTTAACCAGTGTTTACACATTTGTACATATGTACGTACTCAGCTACGTATTACATAAGAGCCCTGCAGGAAAATTGGATTGCCGTAAATTGCTGAGATTTGAATAAATAGTGAACAACCAATTGTTCGGTTTTTTTCGTGGAATAAAACATCAGTAAACGTTGAAATTTATCCGTTATGTATCCGCTTTGAATTTATTTTCATTGAAGTTCGCTTCATTTAAAAAATAAAAATTTTAATTCCTTACGTAAGGTGTACAAGTAACTGGCTTGTAATAATCTCATCAGCAGAAGGCATTTTGGCATCTGACAGACTATTAGAAATATTAGAAATAGTCAGTGTATGGTACATTTTCTTGCTGGCCATAATACGCGCATTCGACT